GTGTTACAATCTTCAATTTTTCCTAGAAAATTACTTAGAACGCCCAAACAGTAAATATTGTCTAAAAGCAGAGTCCCTGGAGGATAGAATGATGGTTGTTGCAATTTTTTTATGTTGCACAATATTTGCCATCAAACACACATTTTCAAGAAAAAAGACACCTAAATGAATTTTAGAGCACACAAACACAATATAATAACCATTTTTTTGGTAAAACGTAAAAGATGATGAAGATTGTTTTGTGTCAAAAAATATATGTCAAATATGTCAAGATTTAAAATTGCACATGCCTGTGAAATGGCAACAAACTACTTTATTTAAAACTGTCCATAAAAGCCTGTACAGGTTAGAAGTTAGAGTTAAATGTGAGCTCTGGCATTAGAACTATTGCTTTCACTCTGATGTAGTGCAATGATATCTCACATGTGTGGTGCAATTGCTGTTTACATATGTGCGGGCGACCTACATGCGTGTTTGCATTTGCACATGAGCATGGGCAGACAGGGGTGCTTTATATTTTATTTTTTTATTTTATTTTTTTTACTCCTTTAATTTTTTTTTTCATTCAAATGTATTGCAAACACAAGGGATGAAAAACCCTTATTAAAGCTTGGGCATTGACAGGTCCCTCCTCTGTCCCCTAAGTCAGCTGATCAAACTGAGATCTGTTCAAATGACCATCTATACCGGCCAGGGGAACACCGAACTGAAATGACAAAATCTTTGTTGCTTCGGCCTTCATTTGTCAGAGGAGAGGGAGGAACAGATGTTCCTGCTTCTCCTCTGTGCACAGCTGACCTGACCGCTTACAGCAGTCCTGGGCTCTCCAGTGGAATGGGGAGCCCTTCCAAGCTCTGTAAAAGTGAGGCCATTTACCAGCTGAAAAAGATGAGACCAGGATCATGGCTGGCATGATCCTGGTATAAGCGATTCCTTCTGAGGTCTGGGTTGGAAGCAGTTAATCTTTAAAGGGTAATTATATTTTGTTTTAATTTTTTGGCTGTGGTTGTGATTTAAGTAATAACATTTGTGAACACACATTGCAAAGCTGGCATTTCTTTATCAGATGTATGCTGGTAGGTAAACCCACTTATCTTGCTCTCAAGGCCTCATCCATACTGGACATAAAAAAATACCACTTTTACAGGCGTTTTTTTTTTTTTTTTATTGCCTCTAAACTCGGTGTAGAGTTATTCACCCTGAGGTCATCACAGAGGACAAGGGGGCACTCTTTACGTCTGGAGGAAAAGACATTTAATCGCCAAACGCGGAAAGGTTTCTTCACAGTGAGAGCTGTGAAAATGTGGAATAGACTGCCTCAAGAGTTGGTTCAGGCCAGCTCAGTGGATTGAAAAAGACCTGGATTCTTTCTTGGATACACAGAATATAACTGGTTACTAACATTTATAGGTAAAGTTGATCCAGGGAATATCCGACTGCCTCTCGGGGGATCAGGAAGGAAGTTTTTCCCCTGCAGGAACAATTTGGATCATGCTTTGCTGGGCTTTTCCTTTCCTCTGGATCAACTGTGGGCAGCACAGTGATTCAATGGTTAGCACTTCCACCTGGCAGTACAAGGGTCGTTGGTTCAAATCCCAGCCACGGCACCACCTGCCTGGAGTTTGCATGCTCTCCCTGTGCCTGTGTGGGTTTCCTCCAGGTACTCTGGTTTCCTCCCACGCTCCAAAGACATGCTGCTAGGTAAATCAGCCCTAGTATGTGTATGTATGACTGTGAGTTAGGGAACTTAGATTGTATGCCCCTTGAGGGTTAGGGACTGATGTGAATGTACAATATATATATATGTAAAGTGCTGTGTAAATTGACAGCGCTATATAAGTACCAGAAATAAATATAAGATCATAACTTTTTTTTTTTTTTTTTAGTTGGTTGAACTGGGTGGACTTTTATCTTTTTTCAGCCAGAATTAATATGTAACTATGTTAGCCTATGTGTCCATGTACATATAGATGTTTATAAAAGCCTTTAGAGGTAGAAAAAAAGGAACATCACTTGCATGTCAGGAGAAGAGCGTTTGAACAGAAAAAAACACAAAACATGCCTAAATATGTGTAAGCACACCTAAATGCAAGGTGCGTTCAGTGCCTGATCGCTCATTCATTTCAGTGGCCAGAATAAATGAATATTCTGATTAATGGAATGAACGAACACCCACATGCTTAATGCACCTAAACTTACCTTAACAACGTTTGCAAAATTGCCAGGAGAAAAGGCGGGGCTGGGCAAACACAATCATACTACAAAACCAGAACCAAAAACACAAGTATGGAAATTTTATGGGTGGAGTTCTCAAAATGTACAAAAAGCTGGTGGCAAAATGCCCAACAGAATTTGTCAACAAGTGAAATATGAATTTTGGGTGGACAGACCCTTTAAGCCAAGGTAAAGCAATTGCAACAGATTTTAATGTTGATTTTCTAATGCTAACATTATTAAATGTATTTGTATCTCATTCTATTTTTCTACTAACCTCCTGTAACCCCAAACAGATCAATATTAAATCAGGCAATGGGGTGGCAGTGTTTGCCAATCAGGCAGTATTACTTTATACAGTGCTTTGAATCTTAGACTTGAAGCTTATTGAATGGAGGAGAGAACACAGAGATGATTTTCCCCCCGCCCGCGCACCCCCCCCCCCTACTGGCTTCTCCATCACGTCCAACAATGCCACTATCAGGCCCGCCCCGCAGGCCAGAGTACTTGGTGTCATTCTTGACTCCAATCTATCCTTCCAGCCCCAGATCCAATCACTGACAAATTCATGCAGACTCCACCTCCGCAACATCGCCAAAATACGCCCATTCCTAGCCCCAGAAACCACTAAGCAGCTCATCCACTCCCTTGTTATATCACGACTCGATTACTGCAACTCCCTCCTCACTGGCCTGCCTCACCACAGGCTATCTCCACTTCAGTCGATCCTGAATACAGCAGCCAGACTCATCCACCTTACCAGGTTTCTGCCACCCCCCTCTGCCAATCCCTCCACTGGCTTCCGATTGCCCAACGGATCAAATTCAAAATACTAACACTGCGTACAAAGCTGTCCATAATGCTGCCCCGAACTACATCACCTAATATCCAAATACCACCCAAAACGCACTCTCCGCTCCTCACAAGACCTCCTTCTCTCTAGTTCCCTGGTCTCCTCCTCCCATGCCCGCCTCCAGGACTTCTCCAGGGCATCACCCATCCTCTGGAACTCCCTACCCCAATCCATCAGACTATCACCTACTCTCCTCTCCTTTAGGCGCACCCTGAAAACCCACCTCTTCAGGGAAGCCTACCCCACCCCCTGCTAATTGCCGATCTCCTCCACTCTTCCTACCACTCCATCCACTATCCCCTCCCTCCTATTGTAAGCTCCAAGGAGCAGGGTCCTCGAACCCCTCGTGTATTGCATTGTATTATTATTGTACTGTCTCATGTATTGTCTCCCATTGTAATGTACAGCGCTGAGCGAACTGTTGGCGCTTTATAAATACTGTATAATAATAATAATAATAATAATGATTTCACCAGTAAACTGCTAGTCCTTCACTATCCAATCACAGTCTTGACCAAGTTGTGCTGCTTTAACTGCAGTGGAAATAAATGGTCAGGACCTTGCAGGGCTGTCTGGATTACAAAACTAGCTGAACAGAAATAAATGTTGTTTTTAGCAGGCAAGGCAGTGCAACACATACATATTTTAATTGTTTATGTACCTGTTTCTCTACACTTTAATTATTCAGGTGCTTTGGATTCAACGTTCCTGAGCATTATCAAATACTTTGCCAAGTTTTTTAGTACTGTCCTGACAAGGTGAAAATGTACGTTTCTTTGCAGTTATAAACTAATTATTAGGAGATTGGTTTGTTAGATTGCAGTACCCAGAAATATCAGTTATAATAAGCCTTCAAGTCTGTTGGGTCCTGTTTAGCTTATATTTTAGCCAACTCAGTTTTCATTTAAAAATATCACACTTATTAGAACAAGTGTTAAAACTTAAACAATAAATAAATATAACATTGAAAATAAACCAATCCTTAGAATCAACATGTACCTGATTGGCCTCCCTAACTAAACGAATCAAAGGGTAGCTCCACTTTTCCGGGGGAAAAAAATAATATAGCATATACAGTTGCTACACAAGCCATATTGTAATTGAATGTTAACTTTCTTTTTCAACCTGCAGCGCTGTAACTTTCAGTAAAATTCAAATAATACGGCAATCAGGGGATTTCTGTACACAGTTGGTATACTTCCCCAGAATGTCAATTCCTGCTTGTGTGAATGGCCTACTGATTTCCCCAGAAGTCTGCACTGAGATACAAGTCAAATAACAGGCAACAAAAAAAAATTAAGTTTTGGTGAGATACATTATATTGCCAAAAGTATTGGGATGCCTGCCTTTACACGCACATGAACTTTAATGTCATCCCAGTCTTAGTCTGTAAGGTTCAATATTGAGTTGGCCCACCCTTTGCAGCTTTAACAGCTTCAACTCTTCTGGGAAGGCTTTCCTTAAGGTTTAGGAGTGTGTCTATGGAATTGTTTGACCATTTTTCCAGAAGCGCATTTGTGAGGTCAGGCATTGATGTTGGATGAGAAGGCCTGGCTCGCAGTCTCCACTCTAATTCATCCCAAAGGTGTTCTATGCAGGTAAAGGCAAGTGTCCCAATACTTTTGGCAATATAATGTTCTATGGGGTTGAGGTCAGGACTCAATCAAGTTCCTCCACCCGAAACTTGCTCATCCTTGTCTTTATGGACCTTGCTTTGTGCACAGGTGCGCAGTCATGTTGGAACAGGAAGGGGCCATCCCCAAACTGTTCCCACAAAGTTGGGAGCATGAAATTGTCCAAAATGTCTTGGAATGCTGACACCCTAAGAGCTCCCTTCACTGGAACTAAGGGCACAAGCCTAACTCCTGAAAAACAACCTCACACCATAATCCCCCCCTCCACAAAACTTTACACTTGGCACAATGCAGTCAGGCAAGTACTGTCCATTGGATTGCCAAACAAAGAAGTGTGATTCATCACTCCAGAGAACACATCTCTGCTGCTTTAGAGTCCACTGGTGGCGTGCTTTACACCACTGCATCTGACGCTTTGCTTTGAACTTAGTGATGTAAGGCTTAGACGCAGCTGCTCGGCCATGTAAACCCATTCTATGAAGCTCTCTATGCACTGTTGTTGTGCTAATCTGAAGGTCACAAAATGTTTGGAGGTTTTTTGCTATTGACTCTGCAGACAGTTGGCGACTTCTTCTCACCTTGTTCTTCAGCATGCGCTGGCTCCTCTGTCATTTTATGTGGCCTACCACTTTGTGGTTGAGTTGCTGTTGTTCCCAGTTGCTTCCACATTGTTAATATACCAGTAACAGTTGACCGTGGAATATTTAGTAGCAAGGAAATTTCACGGATGGATTTAATTCACAGGTGGCAACCTATCATGGTACCACGCTTGAATACATTGAGCTCCTGAGAGTGACCCATTCTTTCACAAATGTTTGTAGAAGCAGTCTGCATACCTACAATAGGTGGTTGATTTTATACACCTGTGGCCATAGAGGTGATTGGAGCACCTGAATCCAATGATTTGGAAGGGTGTCCCAATACTTTTGGCAATATAGTGCACTCCAAAAAAGGTTAATCACTTCTAAAGGGATTACTGACACTGCAACTTTTTTCATTAGAACTCCATATGTGCATTAGCTCATGAATAATGGAAAACTCACACCAAATTTAGAATTTTTATCCACAGACACAAAGTGGAAAAAACAGCTATTTTTATAGAGCAGAAACAGGTAGGGATGTATTTACCACAAGGCACACAAGGCATTTGCCTAGGGAGGCATTTTTCAGGGGGGCATCACCGCCCCCCCCGAAAGAAGGGACGAAAGAGGGGACACATGCAGCTCGGGGACCAGGTGGGATCTGAGAGAGGCTGCGGGCTGCTTTACTCTTGTTCCCAGGGATGTCCAGAGCTGTGAAGGTGAGTGTCTTTCTCTCACGCTAAGGTGGGAGTGGCCAGTGTATGGGGGCAATGGTAGTGGAAGGCTCTCTCGGGTGGGGGGGCAGGGGTGTTGTTTGTCAATTTCTGGCTCTCTCAAGGGGGCGGTGAATTTTGTGTTGCCTAGGGCAGCACAATACCTAAATACACTACTGGAAACAGGTAGGACTCTACTACAATATTTGTCAGAACCCTTGCAATGTACATTGATCTCAAGTTACTCTTTATTAAATGAGCATAATATATGCCTTACAAGATACACACAGAAATGAAAAATAAAAAATGTTCCTAGCTCTTCTCCCAGTCTATCTAAAACAAAACATTTTGCCTGGAATTAGGATCAGACCTATGTTGGTGTTCAATTTGCAGCACAGTAATAAACCAAGCTCAAGGCGAGTTAGAAAACAGTTAAAGTTACACCAAATAGTACGAGGACTCAAGTTAATTTACCTTACTTGAGACAACATATTAACGTCTGGCACAACCTCACAGCCTGAAATCACAGCTGGCATGTGTTAGCTATAGATATAGATTTTTCTCAAACTGACAGACATGTGGTTGTGAAACAGGATACAGGAATCCAGGCCCGCAAGGCAGGTCATGCACTGGGCACATGAAGAAGCCAAGTAACCAAGCCAAAGTACAAACCTGAATGTCCTTCTGTAGAAAAGCAGAAAAGCAGAACACAAGAACACGTAACCTGCCCAATTCACACTGGAGTGATATGCTTAGTTTTTGATAGAAGTGGATAGTTAAAGTAGATGACAAGTCTAAAGAGTATATGGCCACCACACTAAACTACTATCAATGCTTTTTGGTTAAAGTCATAGAAATACAGAAAGGAGTGGCAGGACAAAATCAGATAAAAGAGTCCAAGATAATTATCATTGTTGATAAAAAGCAATTAAAATTTTTGCTCAGCAAATGCTATCATTTTGGTTCTCCATGAGAAGAGTTCAATACTGGTTCTAATATAGATGTATGAAGTCCATCCAACTTTTATCCTGTGTTGAGCCTTGATGAAGGGGAAGTAGTGTTGCCCCCCGAAACATGTTGGCTGTTTTTATGATGATTTTTTTTTTATCAACAATTACAATTATCTTGAACTAGTTATTCGATTTTGATCTGGCACTCCCTTCTATATTTCTCTGGTTTGAACTACAGCTGGGTGCCCATTGAGGGAAACCTTGCTGTGTGGGAGCCGCCGTGCCAAAGATATTTAGCTCCTCTGAAGTTTTTTTTCAATTGACTACAACTGCAAGTCTACAAGTTCCCAGCTCCTTTCGAGTATGTTGTTTTGGTTAAAACTGTTACCTAATTACCTTTTTTTGTCTTGCAGCCATATAAATGCTCCTGTTCTTTCTCCGAGCAGAGACTTTTGGCACATACATATCATAGTGGGAGGTGCCCTCCTCCCATGTAAGACTATATTTACCATACTGTACCTGCTTACATATAAAAAAAGAACAAAAAAAACAACTTCAACTTATATTCCAGATGTGAGGATGGAATGCAGCAAAGGTGACAATGCTTCTGTCATTTCAGCAGTTGTCTTGCACTGTTGTCAGCCCTCCACAGGAGTTGAAGTGAAGGATTAACAGATAAGAACTAGGGTAAATAAAGGGGGAAAATAATATAATGTGCACATAAAGTAATGCACAACCCATATGCAAAAAAAAAAGTAAAACATTTGCCTGGAAATACACTTTAAATTACTTAAGAGTTACTTATATCTCTTGAGGATTCTGGAGGCGAGAATTCTGCACTTGTGTTTCCAGGTGTGCACTCCTGATGTGACTTTTACACGGGGTTCCTACTTCAGCTGTTGGGTTTTTAATGTATTTTATATTATGCAGAATCCAACAGTAGGAACAGTCCCAGGTGGTAGCAAATAGAGCTAGAACTATGGCACAGAGATCTTATTACTGGAGTTCCTAAGAGATATAAGGAGCTGAGGAGACTTTGTCTGCCATACTCTACCTGTAAGTGAATACCATAATTGTGTTGAGTAATTCTTTTATTTCCTTTTTTATTTTGTTATATTTATTTACCTACAATACATAGAAAACTGCATATAGAGAATAACATTTTTTTATGTTTATTATTAACGTTGGGCTAGATGTTAAAGGCATTCAGCGGGCTGTTTGCCTGCAGCACCCCACAATGCACTGCGCCCTGACAGTACATTGTGATTGGCCAAAGCAATGCACCTGACCACAAGTCAAGTACAATGCTTTGGCCAATCACAGCACATGATGTCACAAGGGGGCGGGAGCAACCCCACCCCTTGTGACATCATCACTGTGTTTAATAACTGTCATCCCGGCACAGCTGTCAGACAGCAGGAGACAGCATTGAGAGTGGAGAGTTTTTTGTCTTTTTTTTGTGCTTGAAGTTGGATCTACTTTGTGGGATATTTTTACTTTTTTTATTTTTGTTTTTAATAAAGGACTTGTCAAAGACTGTCTCTAGTCATTTTTTACGCTACAACTTTTTTTTATGAATGAGTAGCGGTACCATGTACCCCATACTCATTCACATAGGGGGAGGTCAGAATCTGGAGGCCTTTTAATAAGCCCCACAGACCCCCACAACCACCGGCCACAGTTCTGGGGAAGAGGCCCATGTTGCGGGCATGTGCACTCGTCCCCCATTTTCCTGACCTGCTGGGCTGCATGCTCAGATAAGGGTCTGGTATGGATTTTTTGGGGGGGGACCCACACACCATTTTTTTTTAAATTTTGGCATGGGGGTTCCCCTCAAAATCCATGCCATGGAAGGGCTTGGTATGGATGGGGGGGAGGGAATCCCACGCTTTTTTAAATAAAATTTTGCTGACAGCTGAAACATTAAAGAATGTTTTAGCAGCTGTGCAGTATCTTACAGCATAATCAGATGAATTTTCCCCTATGTTCTAAGTTCGCAGTCAACCTTTCATTAGGTGCGAATGTTCAACTGGGAACCGAACTAGGGGATGAAATAGAAATGATGGTGAGGTGGTGCAATATACTATAACACTGCCAGTGGTGCTTGAACTGTTGAAGTTGAAGTCCAGGCAAACAGTTCATACACAGTGAAAATACATATACTGTAGTTGTCCTACCTGCCAAAAGATTTAAATTTTTTGAGGTCGAGTCCTGAGATTTACCCAACCCTATCAGAAAGCACCACTTAACGACCCCACTTTTCTCTGCTGTAAATAAGCAACACAGGTAGGCCACTTCCCTGCCCCCATCTTGTGACTATACAATGAAGGAGCAGCAGAAAACTGATGAGGTTATCTGTTTACTCTCTCCATCTCTCAGTTTGTCAGTTCATGTAGTATTACCTGATTGCCTCCCAGTGCCCTCCCCCTCCCCCCTCCTAGTCTGAGAACTGCTCTACAAAGGATTTAAAAATAACATCAAATTTAATATATATATAAATATATTTGCATTCATTATTTTTTAAAGCCCAACTCCAGAAATTAAATAACATCTATCCTTGCACTGCCCCCCAGCCTCCACCATCACCACCAGCCCTGTACTACAAGGGTAAATGTTTGTTATGTCTAGGGGTAGAGAAAAAGGGTGTATTACTTACTCTGATCTAACTTCACTCTTGCAGGGTCCAGCTCATCCTTTTCTCTCTTCTGGTCTGTGAACAGTGCCCCTCAGTGTCATCACGTACATTGAAGAACTATTAACCCAGCATTGTACATGGAAAAGGCTGATATGTGATTATGGCTAGGAGCGCCTTAGAAAGGAGACTTTGTGGGACCAGTCACATTGCTAATGGGACCCTGCTGGAGTGAGGAATAATGTATGAATTATACCTTGTTCATAAACCCCTGATGAGTATTTGACCCTTGCAGTGCCGCACAAAAAGGGTATTTATTTTTGCTGCGCCTGGAGTTGGGCTTTAATATCAACTTTAAGCTGGCTAAGCATGCTTGTTTGCTTCTGCAGTGTCATGACATAATGACCCAGGCATTTTTATATGTTTCTCAATCTCCTTTTTCTCTCTAAACTGCTCAATAGACACCTTTAAAGAGAATCTATCAAGAGAGAATTATCCGAGCTGCCATTGCTGACTTGTTTTTGAAGGTGGAAGTTCCCTCAACTTCCTTCACTACCTGGATGATCGGTGACCTGCAACAAGCATGTGGTCAGTAAAGTATCAGGACACATAGGCCGGTGGCTCACCCAGTGGTGGATGACAGAATGACATGAACCTTCAAACCAAGTCAGAAATGGTAACAAGAAGTTTCCTTCAGCAACTAATGGTAATAAGCCTGAAATAATTTATTTGCTGAAATAACCAGTGTAGACTGAATCTGATCATTTGCTATAAGGCACTGCACTTTGTACTTTCTTGCTGTGCTCTTCACTGCCTTGCTGAATAAGCTCATTAGTGTTAACAGGGACAATATTTTCCAGCCCCCCTGAGCACTGAAGCAGTTAAACTGCATGTTTTTTGGCTCCGATCTACAGAAAAATTAAATATTCATATAAAGAGGCACCCACTTGTGTTTATATGCTAACGAGCAAGTGTTTGCAAATCAGCCTGTGCAAGCCAGAGGGAGGCGAAAATAGTGTGTCCCAATGTCTTGCTGTGGATATAATTTGTTACAATTGAAGGCATTATTGGAACGTCTGGAGTCATTTCCAACAGGCCAGACCGGACAAGTAAGCAGAGCGGAGAGAGGGACAGATAATATGAGCTGAGAGAGGAA